AGATATATTATTAAAAATATTACGTATTCAGGAATGAAAAAATTTATTTCAAATTTATTTGTTGCTCAAAAATATTTTATTTTCAATAAGATATATAAATTCTCAAATTAATATAAATTGCTATATTTCTTATACTTTATGGTAAATTTGCGATGAAGGAAATATTTATAAAATTCTTTAAACTTCTCTTTCGCGTTATTAATTGAAAAAAAAAAATTGCAAATAAAATTAAACTTGAAAAATGAAAAATTAATTCTTAATCCACATTCAATCTATAAGATCTATGACATATAATGTTTCTTTGATAAATACCATACATGTATTAAATAAAATTATTTCAAATTCCCAAGAATCATAAGAAATTTTCAAATTAATGAATATTCCGAACAAATAATTTTCGAGCAACAAATTTCAAACAATTTCATCTCGTTAGACACTTTAAATCGTTATTTTTCATTTCTCTTTTCCTTTCGGCTTCGAATATACGAAATATACGGGAAACAGTACGAAGAGAAAAAGAAAAAGAAAAAAAAAAAAAAATTGAAGCGCAGAGACCAAAGAGAGGAGACGAAGGACAAAAGGTAGGCGCGGATGAAGTAGCGGCGTGCGTATGGTAGAAAAAAGAAAAAAAGAAAAGGAAAATAAAGAAAAAAGGGAAAGAAAAGGAAGAAAAAAAAATATTCGCGCAAGAGAGGGTCGATCAGCGATTCCATCCCCCTGGCGACACAGCGTGGAACGTTTACCCTCCGCCCGTGCTACCACCCTCGTGTCGATGTCACGAGTAACGAGTGTCGTGGTGCAGACTGCATTAGTACCGGGGGATGCTAAAAAATAACGACGGAAGAGGGAAAGGGGTGGGTGCATGGAGTGGTGGTGGATCTGATCGATATCACCTGATACATTGTTTTCGGATAAGAAACGAGTAGCTTCGCGAATATCGATGAAATAGTGCGTGTACCTTTGTCTATGACACGTTTGATATATCGGGGAACATATGGTTGTTTAAACAAGAGGAATGCATAAATGATAAATTCTCCAGTTTTTTGTCTTACGTGCGCCCGTAACGTGAACATTTTATCGAGTTTGTATAGAGTTTGGATAGAGAGAGTGGTATTTTGAGTATACTATATTCTGTTACGAAGTTTTTCTTTTTTTTTTTTCTATCAAGATTTTATAAAGATAGATTCTTGTAAATATTACGCGATGAAATGATTAATAAGAATCGGTTTGATGAAATTGATGTTTATGGAATAGTAGCAGTAATCGGTGTAATGGATGAATTGTTCTGTAACGTGACAGTGGTGGGTGAATGTCGAGCGTGATGGATAGAATTGTCCGACTACCGATCGGAATTATTAGTATTTCCCATGTGTGACACGGCAGTGATCCATTTCTACTTTGTTTATTTTTTGTTTGATATTTTTAAGATTTGTGCAAATATATGGATTGTAGAGTAATTTGTATTTTTTTTTTCTTTTTGATCAATATCGAAATTAAAATAAATTTTGTGTTTGCTGTTATCTAATGCTTTAATAAATTTGTTTCATAATTTATATAAATAGCGATGTGATGCAATTGAAAATATTATTTTTTCATATTCATAAGATATTTGATATATCTTATTCCCATTTGAATAGACAACATTCATAGGTATAAATTATGTGAATCAACTTGTGTATATTATCAAATTATCTTGTTACAAATTACCCGCTATACATTCATTTTGCATTCGTTGCTGTAATTCAGATGTATCGTTCATTATGGTAAATTAAACACGATAGGTTTTCTACGATACACAAAATTTATTTTATACCAAAATTATTGATTTTGAAATCCGTATTAATTCAACAGTTAATTCTCCCTAATAGGTATTATTAGTATTATTACCCTTTAAAATCTTACAATTAAATTTTGTTTTAACATCCTATATAAGCAGTTTATATTACCTCAAACAGTAAATACTCGAATTATTGATTGAATCATCCCCAATAAATAAGATACTCATTGTATTATATCTATTATTATCCCATACCTATTGTTGATTGTTCACAGAATTTATAGCATTTTATATCTGTTTGATAAAATTAAAAATTAAAAGATAAAAAAAAATATGCCAATATTACTTGACTTTGAATTTAAAATATTATCATACATATTCATTATGGTAAAATTTTTTATATCATCACAACAGAACTTCTACAAAATTTCTCTCCTTTTAACTAAAAAATACACATCGAAGGAACGAACACAAAATGAAGACAACGCTCTGAAAATTAAAGCAAAAAAAAGAAAAAAAAAAAAAAAAAGAAAAGAACAACTGAAATCCTCTTACGAAACTTTCCAATGCCACAACATTAGTAAACACGACCAATGGCGACACATCCCCGTCGATCTTCTCTCGCAAAGCTTGAATTGCTTGGTCAAACATAGCCCAAGCCTGTCCTAACGTTCGGCAATCTTGGAAAACAAAATTTCCTCGGTTGGCGTGTAACGGACACACGGCAACGGTTGTGTGTCGTCCAACAAGCGGACAGCGCTCGGTTTGCGCGTCGGCCTCGATTATCGATTATGAAATTGCACCGGATAAAGCAAACGAGAGGCTCCATCTCTTTCTCTCTCTTTCTCTCTCTACCACTCTATGTCGAGCTTGCTACTCGATAGGGTTTGTGTTGGTCAGACGTGTACAGGTGCGCCGATTGACTTTCCGATTATCGGATGACATAGGAGAGGGAGGGGGAGAAAAGAGAGAGAGAGAGAGAAGGGGACACAAACGCGTGCATATACACACGAGGCTCCTGTCTCTCTCGCACCCTGCGACTTAAACACTGCCCTTTGTCACGGCATCCCCTCGCGTTACACACGAGTCGTTCCGCCGTGGAACGTTTTACACGTGCACAAGTGTAGAACGTGTACTATAGAAGGCAAGGCAACTTGCCATGCTCTCTGTCATACCGTGTCCCCATCCGCTTTATCCACCTATGACGCTTCATCTAGCTCTCTCCGTGAGGGTGGTTGGCATCGTTACTCTCCCCTCCTCCGCCCGTGTGTTTCTCTCTTTGTTCATTATTGGATCGGATGCTTTGCGCATCTTCTTCTCGCTTAATAACGTTTTGGTTGGTTTAGTCTCTTTATTGGGACGATCGTGGGATGGACAAGTCGCTGTTTGTGGTAAATTCTGTTATTAGAGAGGGATTGATTGGCCATCCTGTTATATTAGTCAGTCGTTGTTCTATGATTATACAAGAATCAGGTGAACCAGGATGTGGACCAAGGTCTCCGTTTATTGATCGAATATTCGGGACTTGATTTAAAGTTTAATCCGGTTAGCTCGATATATTTTTATTTTTTTATTTAATTTCTTTTTGTAGTAAAATTTTGTATGGTTGAGAATCGTCGAGTTTTTTTATGCTTGGGATTTTAATCAATATTAAACTAAGAAACAAACTAATTGTTTGTGAATTTATTTATTCTTTTTTCATTCTCTGAGATTGGAATTAAAAGTAACATGGGATGGTAAGCAATAAGTTTGTTTTTTAAATATGTTTGTATAAAAACTAAATAAAGATAAAAAGATAATTATCTAGAAGAGGAAATCGCCGATGTCACAAAATTTTTTTTAATATCTCGGATATTCAAACTGAGCGATAACGATAATGTATAGGAAAAAATTGTTTAGTTATCATGACATAACAATTTATTTCACTTATTAAAATCAGTAAAGAGTTTCCTTTTTCATATAATTAGCGATAAATTTGCGAAATATTAGTTTGTTTCTTTTTTTTTTGTCGATAAATGTATAATGAAATTTTTTTTCTTGCCTGCATAAAATAAAAATACCTGCACGCAGTGAAAATATGGCATACTTGATACGTTTAAAACAACGATAACGATAACTTATCGCTGTAATTATTAACTAGAAAATTATGTGTTTTTAAATATTTTGTTATTTGATTCAAAAAATATTTTAATATCACTTGCTTATTATATTGCAAAATATTAATTCAATAATAAAAATGTTATATGTATTTAATTTACAAAAAGGATTCACGTGCAGAATACTTATTATTATTTTTAATAAACTTCTTTTTTTTATTTAAAGTTTTTTAAAAACGAAATTTTAAAAAAACTATACAGATAATTGTTAATAATAAGTAGTGAAAGAATACGCGAATTTTTAATGTTTTCGCGAATTTTTAATAATAAAATATTTTATTTTTTTTTTTTGCACGTTCAATACTTGTACTATTTCTCTCATAAAATTCTACTTTTTATTTTAATAGAAATTTTGATATTCTTCTTATATAAATGTTATATATTGTATTATTTCTCTCATAAAATTCTACTTTTTATTTTAATAGAAATTTTGATATTCTTATTATATAAATGTCTTATATAAATGTCCATAAATGTTATTTGCAAGATAACTTACAGAAAAAAAGTAAATTATCAGGAGAAATATAACGAAGTTTATTAGAATAGTATAATGTCTCTATCAAAATATTTAAGAAAGATATCTGCTCACACGCTAACAAGATAAAGTTTTTCCAACCGCGATTTTGATCGTTTATTCAAGTGGAAAACAAGTATATCTTACTCGATGATAACAACGAAATTCACTAGTAAAAATCTCATCGCGATAACTAAGGAAAACTATTTATAAAGAAATATCGATGGAATTGCTCGATATCCTCATTTTTATCGTTTTTTCCATTTTTTTTGTTATTCTAAAGAAACTTGTGATTATAATATAAAGAATCGCATCTGATAAAAGTTTCGAACTGAAAAATTGCTTCTTAGGCTGTTGAAAGAATATTGATTATAGCAATGTTAGTTATAGTGAATTTAATAGAATATTGAAGCATCGAAAATTGTTGAAAGTTGAAGACCTATTAATTTTTCGTTAGTTGAAATTAAATTTATCAAATTCGAAATTTTGATGAAATTAATAAATAAATTAGAATAGAATAGAATAAAATGATTGGTTTCGTTTCGTCACTCACTTGATTCGATTGGAGACTAGCAGTTCCGCTATGTTTTTTCCCAACATAGAATACAGCGTTTCCACGAAGACCAATACCTTTGGATCCGTCCTCAAACGAGCTTCGCTACGATGATCCGGCGCAGAGGGTAACCTCGTTGCGCCCCTCAGCGTCGAACACCTGATCGATGGCTCTGGTCTAGTGTCTCGATGGATTAGACTGAAACAAAATATGGAAGCTTTAGAAATAATCGATTATAAGCTTTTTAGGATCAAGTTTTATCAAAGTTAGTGAAATTATTTGAATTCAAGATTTTATATATATATAGTGTTATATATATATAGTATTCAGCAAATACTATATAATGCAAAATTGTTCTATTTATATTAATCTTATTATTGTGTTATGTTATGTTATTACAAGTTCTTTATAAAAATTAGAAAATAATCAAATAATTTATAAAAACTTACTACTAATCACAGATTAAAGGAAATATAGTATATTTGGAATAGTAATTTAAGATAAATAAAAAATTATTGCAGAGGAATAAATAAAACTAGTTGAAATTGAAATTATAGGGAAATATATTTCAAATCTTGAATATAAAAAAAAAAAAAACCAAAAATATTTGAAAATTTTTTTTAATTAAACCAAATTTTCGGTATTTTTTGTTTTTTTTTTTTTTATTAAAAATTTAAATTTTTAATAAAAAAAAAAAAAACCAAAAATATTTGAAAATTTTTTTTAATTAAACCAAATTTTCGGTATTTTTTGTTTTTTTTTTTTTTATTAAAAATTTAAATTTTTAATAAAAAAAAAAAAAACATAAAATATCTGAAACTTTGTTTTAATTAAAAAAAATAATGCAGAGTAAAAATTTCAATAAGATGGCGATTCTTATATTAATAATTTGAAACAGAAAATAATTCCAAATTATTTTCATTTAATTAAAAAAAATATATTTATTACAATTTCATTACAATTGTTCTCTCTTACGAATTAATTAAAAACAATATAGGAATATATATAATATCAGATAAATATTAATTTCCAATATTAATCATCATAAAATTTACCTTTTACATTGTTATAACATAATCAACTAATTGTTTCTTAAAACTTTCATTAAATCAATAAGTCAACGGCTAATTTATCAGTCTGAATAATGTAACTGTGTATGTAATATGCAAATTACTTTTATCTTCAATATTCCGGATTATTGATATTAAAATTATTAAAATCCAAAATCACCTAAAATCTCCTATTATGTTTTATATTTTTAAAATAAAATCTGTAAAATTTATTATTATATGAAACCATAAATGGAAATGAATAGATTAAATGATTTAAAGTTTTGATTTCACATTTTAATCACGACACTCATTGAAAAATTTTTACAAATTCATATTTTTCATATTTTTCATATTCTTCCGCAGATTAAATTATAAATACATTAAAATTTTTACATAAATATCATTAATTAACAGATCATGCACTCTCACTTATTATTTTACAATGTTATAAATTCAATAACATTTAATAGTTATTTATCTATATTTTTTCTATTTATTTTATTAAATTCGCCAATACCTAAAAAGTTTATCAAATCACTATATTATCCTCGATAATAATACAAAACCATGCGTTTCGTATAAACTTATCGCAATAATTCACAATTCGTTCCAATTTTGAAAAATTTCGACCGTTTAGCTCGAGGAACGAGGAATTTTCTTTTCACATGACGAGGATTGAAAACAGCAAGAAACGAGATAATGTTCCTGCGTTGGTCATGTCGCATAAAGCGGTCGGATTGCTCCACTTGGCATGAATCGGGCGGCATTTTTACGATTACCGATAATCCGATTGTGTCTCAAAGAAACCGGGAAAAAGAGATTCGTCCTCGACTCGAGAACGATGAAAGAATTCCTTCATCGAAATCGCCATTGCCGAGATCTGAATAACTGGAATCTTTTGAGGAATGCACCGTTTCCAGCCTTCGAAGTTTTAATCCCATTGCGTGGGTTGAGATCAACATTTCTAATATACCGAGATCGGAGGGATCTTTTAAAATTTTAATATACAATCACAGTTGACGAGTATCCGAATCTCTCTGAGGAATTTCACATTTCTGTTAAATCGAATGCATTTTTTCAGAGTTTCAATAGGAAATGAAAAATACGGGGATAAAATGAAAAATAATGTATGGAATGTATGAGATATCGAGCTTAAAGCTTCAATCTTTATATAATTTACATTACATAAGATATTAAAAATTGTAAAATTATTGATTTCTAATATTTTTCAATGAAGTTTTGTCATATAAAAAGTATAGTAAAAGAAAAAACAATTAAATTCAAAAAATATAATAAATTAATCAATTAAGTAATTAAGTAATAATCCTGGATGATTTACGAAATTCATTTGTTAATTAATGTTCCACGCGATAAATTATTCCGATATATTCCGATATAATTAAACAAATACTGCGAGATTTAATTCTTTATCCATTATTCTACCAAATATTGAATCCTCAAATGAAGATAATGATCAAAACGGATTCAAAATCTATCTAAATCTACAAATTAGAAATCAGAAATTTCTCTATTATTTCTCTCATTAGAACAAAACTTATAATAATTTATAATCTATGCATTTTAATTTGGTAACTAGAAATCTCAATAATAATGTTAAAATTTTAAGAATATGAATAAAAAAAAATTAATATCAATTAATTATTTAATATACAATTTATGTAATCGTAAAGAATTGTAATAAAATAATAATATTAATTTTTTACATCGCAACACGATCTTACGGATTGTTAATCAAAATCTTCGATCGAAAATAAAACATCCAATTCCATTACTACGAAAATACAAACTCTACTTATCCCCGAATCTATACTCCATACGCGAGAATTATCGTCGAACAAGGTGTTTCGACGGAGGGGAATACAAGGTTTTTACATTAATGCGGGATCGTTGACGATGAAATAAAACGGACGAGCGTAACAAATTTTCCGTGTCCGGCCGCGCGAACCACTTTAAAAATCGCAACGAACGAGCCGAGAATGGAAAACGAACTCTTTCCCCCCTTTTCCCCCTCCCCCTCCTTTATCTCTCGCTC